TGTATCTACTAAAAATACAAAAAATTAGCTAGGCATGGTGGCAAATGCCTGTAGTCCCAGCTACTCAGGAGGCTGAGAAAGGAGAATTGCTTGAACCTGGGAGGTGAAGGTTGTAGTGAGCCGAGATCGCGCCACTGCACTCCAGCCTGGGTGACAGAGTGAGACCCTGTCTCAAAAAGAAAAAATAGTAAATAAATCAATTTTTAAAAATAGAAATAATAAACAAATAAATAATAAATAGGAATAATAAATAAACAAGAAATTCCAGCCCCACCCCAGACCTGCTGAGTGAAGTTCGTATGTTAACACATCCCGCCATGAGTATGTGCACTGTTTGGTTGAAGCCGGGCTGGAAGATCACCTTGGCTAACCTCATACCACAGATGGGGAGACTGAGGCAGAGGGAGGTGGAGGTCCTTCAGGCTTACAGAGCCACTAACGATCCACTCAGGGCCTGGAACCAGGTCTTTCCAGGGGAGATAGGGAGGGGAGGGGGCTCTCGTGGGTGGAGCCGAATGCACAGTCTTAAAGACTGGCCCCTTTCCCCACAGCTACACAAGCGGTTAGCTTTGCAGTTTGTGGAACGGGGTGGTAGTGTAGGGAGCAACTGCAGGCAGCTCCAGCTCCATTCATTCAGCAGAATTTGTTGGACATCTGCCATGGGCCTGCGCACTGCCGTAGGCCCTGGGGACACGTGAAGTGGGCAGTCTAGTGTGAAAACAGACATAAACAGGTCAATATGTAAATGATCAAGGTCCACTCACCCCTTATCCAAGTTAGGATGTGAATAAAACGAGGTGATGGCTCAAGGCTGGTGCAAGGGAGGGAGGAGGCAGCTGGGGTTGTCTGAGACATGGGGGTCCGGGAGGGTCTCTGAGGATGAGACACTGGAGCTGAGGCCTAGAGAAGAGGAGCCAGTCCTGGGTAGGACTAAGGGAAGTGCCCAGAGCAGGGGGCAAGGCAGGAGCAAAGGCCCTGAGGCAGAAAGAGGCAAGCACGGAGTTGGAGGGGAAGCTCGGGGCCCCAGAGGCTCGGGGTGAGGGAGGCAGAGGAGTGTGTCCAAGGTGCAGGTAGGGGGTATCTCAGGGGCTGCCAGGAATGTGGCTTAGTGGTGGCGTGGTGGGGGCCATGGGGTGCTTCAAAGCAGGAAGAAAGCCTGAGTGGGTCTGGGGGTTTTCTTTGGGATTTTTACTGAGTTCTACACTTCCTACGGTAAAACAGGAAACTTGATAGCACAAACCAGTGTGGCCTCCCCCAGGTCAAGGTGGAGTCCCTTCCCATCCCTCAGGTTCTCTCACGACTTTCTGATGGACCCCACCTCACCCCACTGCCACCCCCAACCCCAATCCCCACCCCACCCCACCTCACCCCACTGCCACCCCCTCACCCACTCCCCAGCCTCCCACCCTCCTCACCCCACCTCACCTGCGGGTCTGTGGCTCTGGTTTCTCTCACTGGGCTCGGTGTTTTGGAGACACCCCTCTGCCCCCTTGGTTTGGAGCCTCTCATAGCCCGTTCCTTTTCACCTATGAGTTGCAGTCTTTCCATTCTCCTATTGATAGATACAGCCAGGGCTATTTCCATTCTGGACTCTATGAATACCACTGCCATTCACAAGTCTTTGGGTGAAGGAACATTTTCGTTTCTCTCTGGCCAGTGACCTGGGCGTGCTCATAGTGGTGTGTTTAATTTTATAAAAAACTTATAACCTTATCAAAAACTGCCAGAGTGGCTGGGCGGGGTGGTGTGCCTATAGCCCCAGTTACTTAGGAGGCTGAGGTGGGAGGATCACTGGGGCCCAGGAGTTCGAGGCCAGCTTGGGCAACACAGCACTTTTTAGACACTTTGTCTCAGAAAGAAGAAAAGAAAAAACCACCAAATTGTTTGCTGCAAAGGCTATATGCCATAGAGAGTCCCAGGAGTGGAGATGGGCTGCCGGGCAGGAGAGGAAGCCAGGGAGGAAGGCGGCCCCTGCAGTAAGCCAGAAGGGAGAGAACGTGGCCTGGCCTGGGGTGGCTGTGAAGCTGGAGAGCATCTGTCTGCAGTGCTACTGGATAAATAAATGTGCTGTGGGTCCTCAGGCCCCTGCAGGGCTGGCTCCAGCACTGACACCTTCCCTGTCTGTCCAGCTCTGGGGCAGTTTTGCTGTGCCCACTGAAGGAGAAGAGGAAGTGAGCCCAGGCACTTGCCGCCCACAGACCCCATCCTGCAAGGGTTTCCTGGGGTCCACTGTGCTCCAGGCCCCATGCTGGGACAGCTTGGCATCCCTGCATTCTGGGTGCTCCCTTTCTGGGGCTCCAAGTTTGGCAGCAACCAAGGCTGCAGGAGGACAATGGGCAAAGTGCTTGTCGGAAGGGAGCAGCAAGGGTGAAGGCCTGGAGGAAGGAAAGCCTGGAGCACACAGGTGGCAGGGGTGGACAGGGGCTCCTGCTTTCCAGAGGGGGTCCGTGTGCCAGGGACCTGGCTCAATGCTTCACATCAGCCATCTCCACTCACCCCACACAATAATCTGCAGCAGAAGGGTTACGATTAATCAGGCTGTACAAATCAAGAAACCAAGGCACAGAGAGCTTATATTATTCACTCCAGGTCACACAGCCCATGAGAGATGGAGCTGAGATTTGCAAGCAGGCAAGAGGAGGGTGGTGGGCAGGAAGCAAATCCCTGAAGGCCCAGATCCTCTGACAAAGGCTCTGCAGCCACCTACATACCCAGAGATGTGGACACACTGCAGTGTGCCAGGAGATGCCAGCCAGGTCAGGGAGGTAGCCACTCAGCAGCCCCACCACTGACCCTTAGTCTCTTCAGGGCTACTCCCAGGATGATGTTGTGAGAGTTGTAAGAGGCGGTCAGATGATCCTCGATCCCCAGCAGGCTCCCTGAGCTGGCCTGGTGGCCCAGCGTGGGCTGCACCTCTCACAGACATCGCAACAGCTCTTGTTGGTGGCCTGATAGATGAGACAAACTCTTCCCCAGCAAGGGACGAGAGGTTTTGTTCAAAGTCTTGGATCAATTTTATTTTACTTTTGAGAGCTGCTGAAGAAAGTATCATCAAGTAGCCTTTGAAAAATCCCATTCACTCTTTTTAAGTGGACGGCTGTAGACTACAGTCTGAAAATCGGTCCTCCAGGAGCTCTGTCTGGCAATCGATTTTCATTCTTGAAATGAGAAGAATTAGTCTCAGTGGAATTTCAGCCTAGTCTGTGGTTCTAAGGGGAACCTCTGCCTGGCTTTCCCTGAAGCTCCCTCTTTGTTGCCAAAGCTTTTCATTTCCCTGTTGCTCAGTTATCTTCGAGAGGGCAGGGTGCACAAAGTGTATCATGGGTCTCAAACGCAGGCCCCTGCAGGGGCCCACAGGTGACAGAAAGGAGCAAACTAGCCAGGAGGGAACTGTGGCACCCTGGGGAGCCCATGCCCTCATGTAAGAGGGTGGCTAATGCCCTTCAGCTCCAGGACATTGTAGACAGGTGGGTAATGGGCCCAGGTGGGGTGGCCCCATTTTGCCACATTTCAAGAGAAACCAGGCATTCAGATTTTGTCATTGTTGCCATTGTTGTTTGGAGACAGGGTCTTGCTCTCTCATCTGGGCTGGAGTGTAGTGGTGTAATCATAGCTTACTGCAGCCTTGACCCACCGGGCTCAAGTGATCCCCTTGCCTCAGCCTCCCAAGTAGCTGGGACCACAAGCATGCTCCACCATACTCGGCTTTGGGATGTCAAGGAGGGCGGATCACAAGGTCAGGAGTTCAAGACCAGCCTGGCCAACATGGTGAAACCTGGTCTCTACTAAAAATACAACAATTAGCTGGGTGTGGTGGCGGGCACCTGTAATCCTAGCTACTCGGGAGGCTGACGTAGGAGAATTGCTTGAAACCAAAAGGCAGAGATTGCAGTGAACTGAGATCACGCCACTGCACTCCAGCCTGGTCAACAAGAGCAAAAACTGCATCTCAAAAAAAAAAAAGAAAATAAATTTTCGTAGAGATGGAATCTTACTTTGTTGCCCAGGCTGGCCAGAGTTTTTAAATGTGAAATCTCCAAGTTTGTATTCACAGAAATTAACTCCAAACACATTAAAGCTCAGTGATGGCCAAAGAAGCACATCTGGGAGCTGGATTAGGTTTAAGGCCCTAGTTCGAGACCTCTCTCCTCAAAATGGCTCAGTGAGGCAGGGTCTTATTTTATCTCATATTACAATGAGGAAACTGAGGCTCAGAGAGTAGGCTGGCAGGCCCTAGCCACACAGCTGGGAAGCCATAGAGCTGATGTGGAGTGAGGGTCTGTGGCCCCTGCTCTGAGCTCTGTCCAACCTGTGCCTGCCCCTAGCTTTGGCCCCGGCTCCTCTCGGTCCCCATCCCCAGTCCGACCATCCCTTTTCCACCTCATCTGCCACCTTTCCCTGGGGCTGAGGTTGGAGCTCTTCTTACCACCTCCTTTCTTTCTTTGGGGCTGGGTTTTTTGTCTGGCAATCACCACCCACAGTCCACTCATTCAAGATTGTAACCTCTTGATTGGAGCCAAGTGGCCTAGGTTTGAATTACAGCTCTACTATGTGCCTACTGAGTGACCTTGGGCAACTTACTTAACTGCTCTGTAGCTCAGCTTTACCTTCTATAAAATGGAAGAAGTAATCGTACCAATCTCATAGGGATGTTGTGAGGATGAAAAGGGTTAACTTATATTAAAATGCACTTAACTGTGCACAGTATATAGCTAAGTGCCAAAGAAAAGTATGTTAAAATAAATGCATCAGGCCGGGCGCAGTGGCTCACGCCTGTAATACCAGCACTTTGGGAGGCCAAGGTAGGTAGATCACGAGGTCAGGAGTTCAAGACCAGCCTGACCAACATGGTGAAACCCCGTCTCTACTAAAAATACAAAAATTAGCCAGGTGACCTGTAATCCCAGCTACTCAGGAGGCTGAGGCAGGAGAGTTGCTTGAACCCGGGAGGTAGAGGTTGCAGTGAGCCGAGATCACAGCGCTGCACTCCAGCCTGGGCAACAGAGTGAGACTCCGTCTCAAAATAAATAAATTAAATTAAATTAAAATGCAGCAAACACTTATTGAGTACCTACTGAGTGCCAGGCCTATGATAGATTCCAGGATTCAATGGGGGCAGAAGGAACAGATCCCATCCCTCATGGAGCTGGTAACTGGATAGATGGTTCACTGGTGTGTCCTGCGCCAGCACTGCCTACACAAGGCTCTGCTGGTCTACCTGGAGGTCAAAGGATCCCACGGGCCTTTCCAGATTGCAGTTCTGAACACACAGCTCCTCCTGCCTCCCTTGCTCACTCTCTCAGACCCTCAAGCCCAGACCTACCACCGACAACCTTGTTCTCAGGCCTCTGCCACAGCAGGCGCCTCTACTAGAACTTGCTTCCTCTCCCACCAGCTTCACTGCTCTTGGCTTAGTCAAAGCCTCTTTTTGTTTCCAATCTCAACCCCAGAGTCCCCTCCCCAAGCTAGGAACTGCCCCTTTTCCCTCAGCCTTTGCATCCTGTGCGACCACACATGCACAGAGCGTCTGAGGAGTTTTTGCTTGCCGTCTTTTCCTGCAGCTCATGAGGGAACCTCATATCTGAAGCAGAGGATATGGGAAACCCAGTCACTCCTCTTCCTCAACTTCCGTTTTCTCACCTATAAAAGGGTACAGTGACCCTGAACTCAAAGGAGAGTGCTCAAGTGGCCAGAAGCAGATGTCACATGGGCCACTGGGACCCGAGAGGCACTACTGGTCCCCAGGTGCTTCCTGGAAGAAGGGGCACACACCTAGGCCAGCAGAGAAGGGTGGGGAAGGGTGCCAGAGGCAGGCAAGGAAGGGCATGTGCCCAGTGGTCTGGGTCTGGCTTGGCTGGAGCCAGTGTGAGAAGCGTCTGCTGGAAGGTCAGGTTGCAGCACAGCAGCAGGGGCCTGCAGGAGGACACCAGGGAGAGACAGTGTCACTTTGGGATGCTCCTTAGCATCCTAGGGCTGCACAGGGAAAGCAGCTGCAGAGCCCTTCCAGGTGGGGGTCCTGGCCTGAGTGGGGGCGGCTCTTGGCCCGGCCTGTGTGGTATTTCTTCTTTTTTTTTTTTGAGACGAAGTCTCACTCTAGTCACCAAGGCTGGAGTGCAGTGGTGTGATCTCGGCTCACTGCAACCTCTGCATCCTGAGTTCAAGCAATTCTCCTGCGCCAGCCTCCTGAGTAGCTGGGATTACAGGCACCCGCCACCACGCCTGGCTAATTTTTGTACTTTTAGTAGAGACGGGGTTTACGCCATGTTGGCCAGGCTGGTCTCGAACTCCTGACCTCAGATGATCCACCTGTCATGGCCTGGGATTACAGGCGTGAGCCACCGTGCCCGGCTGGTATTTCTTCTTTTGTTCTCCGTGTAAATGGTAGAAGATCCGGCTCTCTCCTCCCACCTTCTAGGTGCAGAGAGAGAAAGAGGGGAAAGGAGAAAGCTGGGGTTTGGGGTTCTCACAGCGTTTCCCTCTCATGCTGCCAGGGCAGGGCCGTGGAAAATGGTCCCTGAGGGCCCGTTCATTCAAATAAGGACAAGAATAATGGCACACTCCCCATCTCCATTTAAAAATAGTCACATTAGCTGACACTGGCTTGGCACTTCCTAGATGCCGGGTGCGTTCCGAGCTCTCTGCGCTGTTAACCTTGGATCCTCATAACAGCCAGAGGAGACAAGCGCCTATTTTCCTTACCATTTTCTAGATGAGGACACCGAGGCACAGAAAGTATGATTCACTTGCCCAGGGTCACGCGGCCATGGCAAGGCCAGGATTCTGGAGCTCTGTACCTGGGTTCACACCAAAGCTCAGGCCGCCCTCCCGCCGCTGGGGAGGGCTCGGTGATCGTGCCCACTTTTCGGAGGGGCATACCGAGTCTCCCAGAACGTGGACAGTGGAGTGCGAGCCCGGTATGGTTTGCACCTGGCTGCTCCAGGAGCCCTGGGCCTCATTCTAGGAGCCTGGCGGGGAGGCAAGCAGTGGGGTTTGGAGGCTGCTGCGAAGGCGGGGTGGAGGCGAGGCGGGTCGGGTCGGGTCTGTACTGCTCTTCTTCCGCAGGCAGGAGGAGCCCAGGGCGGGCTGCCGCACCTGGCAACAAGGGTCCGCCGCGCTGCATGAGGGTGTGCGCGCGCGCTAGGCGAGCCCGGTTCTTTGTGTGTCCGAGCCCATGCGCGCGTGCGTGTGTGTGTGTGTGTGTGTGTGTGTGCGCGCGTGTGCGCGTGTGTGTGTGTGTGTGTCCGCGCCCGCGCGCGCGCCCGCACTTGGGGCGGGGCTGGACGCCCAGGCCCCGCCCCGGCCCCGCCCCCGGCCCGGCCGAGCTGGTATTTTTCCACCCAGCAGGATGGGTGATGCTGAGAGCTGCCTGCTCAGACAACAGACACGCGAGGTCAGGAAGAAGCCGCTTATAAATTACCGCTTCCTTCGCGCCGCCGCCAGCGCCGAGCCCAAAGGACCGCGAGCCCAGAGGCCGAGCCGCGCCGGGAGGGAGTGCGGAGCGTTCACCCCGCGGGCCAGAGAGCGAGCGGGCAGGCAGACCCCGGCCGGCGGAACCCGGCGCAGCCGAGCTGAGCGCGGGCGGCGCCGCAGCCACCCCAGGTACCTGAGGGACGGGGAGCCGGGCGCGGAGCCGGCGCTGCCCGCCGTCTGCAGTCCCTCCCCATCCCGGCGTCGCCGCAGTCCTGGCCTCCTCCCCTCCGCGTGCCCCCATCCGGCGCCCCTTTCACCACCGCGGAAGGGACAGAGGGTCGCCTGCTCAGTCCCCCTGGCGGGGCTGTTATTGTTTCCTTGGCGAAAGGGCTCCGGCTTCTGGTGCGGGCGGCAGGTGTGTGTGTGTGCGCATGTGTGTTGTGTGTGGTATGTCTGTGTGTCTGTCTCCGTCTGGATGCCTACATGTGGCCTCTGTGTCTCTATGTCTGTGTGTTTCTGAGGGTGGCTGTTTCACCGCGTCCCTGGCAGCGTGCACATGTGTGTCCTGGTGCATGTTTGCTGTTCTCTGTGTGCTGGACTGTGTGTGTGTGTGTGTGTGTGTGTGTGTGTGTGTGTGTGAGAGATACCTGAGTGTGCTGTGTCTTTGGATGTGTGCTCTTGTGTGTCCCCGTTTGTGTCTGCGTGAATCTGTGTATAGGGGGGCTGAGTCTTCCAGGCCCTGGCTGTGTGCACGTGCATGTCCCTGAGTGTGATTGTGTCTCCAGGTCCCTGGTTGTGGGCACTTATGTGTCCTCGGCTGTACCCAAGAGGGTATCCCCAGTACCTAGAGGGTCAAATAGCCAGAGCTGGATCTCCAGGTCAGGCACTGAAGAGAGGTGATAGGGCAGCATGGCTCCATAGGTGCTGCCCAGGTGGCGTGCAGGTGGCAGTGCCAGTGCCCAGCAGTCCTGAGTAGTGGGACCAAGACCCGGAGAGGCAGCCAGGGGGTAGCGGACAGCCGGCAGGGCCAGAAGGACACTTCCTCCTCCAGACTATTTCCCTTTCTTCTGTGGGTTCCTCTTTTAAGCAGGAGATCCTTGTCCCCCTCCCACTGGGGAAGCCACACAGAGAGAATTCCAGGGACCTCCTCCTGCAGCCCCAAAGCTTCAGCCTGGACTTCAGCCTGGACTGGAGAGGAGACCTGTGGGCGGCTCTACCAGGCAGGGAGGTGTGTGCCGGGCAGGGCCACTGGCCTGGCTATTTCGGTCACTGCTGGGCCTTTGCCAGATCCTGGCCTCCCCAAGACCAGCCCCAAAAGCTTGGAAGGCAGCCTGGGCCCCCATTTCCTGCCTGGGGAAATAAATCAGCTCAGTAACTGCCCAGACACTTGAATGGTGGGTCTTCAGGCTGAGGTTTAGTGGCGCGTGGCTCCATTTGGACCTCAATAAATTGGCTCCCGCTTTTGCACAGCTGACGTTCAAATAAATGTTACCGAGGAGATCTTTTTAAAATTTCTTTGTAATTTTTTGTTGGCTACAAGGAAAGGGATCTTGTCCAGAGTCTCCTAGCCAGAAGGAGTTTATTTTTATGAGAGAGAGAACGGGTGAGTGCTTAGCAACCACCTGCCTCCCTCTCGACCAGGGAGTCACCCAGGGAGTGTGGGGTGGACATGAGGTGGTGGGGGGAGGAATTTCATTAAGACGGTTTTGGAGAGATGTTGGATAGGGCCTGGCATGGCTAAGAACCCCCAATAGGGTGGGATTGGTAGAATGGTGGGAGGTGTTAGGCCTGGCTCAGCCCCTAGTTGACCTTGGGTAACCTTTTTTTGGCCTCAGTTTCCTTACCTGTAAAATGGGTGGGGCAGACTGGTTATAGAGCAAACCAGGGACCAGAGGTAGGAGCTTGTCCCCAGGGAACTGATTTAAGTCCTGTGCTGTGTTTTAATGGGCGGGTGACCTTGGTTGATTCCATTGGTTTCTTTGAGCCTCAGCTTGGCTGTCTGGGCAGCAAGGACGCCAGTGCCGGCCTCACTACGTCCTTGAGGGGATTGAGGGAGATGGTAAGCTGCAAAGCCGGCCTCAGCTGTAAAGGGGATTGAGGTCCTTGTGGTAAGCTGTAAAGCTGGTCTCGGCTGTAGAACTGCTGATTAGAGGGTGTCACGAGGTCCTGGGTCACTGTGGTGTATGGCAAGGGCCAAGGTGCATTCTGGAGCCTTTGTCCTCTAGGGACACCCTTGTACTAACCCATGTCTCAGCTGCAATCATCCTCCCCCATCTCATTCCCATCACCTCAACCTGTGGTGATTGGGCCACAACTGCTTTGCAGAGTCCGGAGGCCTGGTGAACAGTACCCATTTTATAGATGGACAAACTGAGAGCCACCTAAGAGGCTTTGCCTTGAGGAGACAAAATTCAGTTTCAAAAGGCTTTCCCTAGCTCAGCTGTGAGTTTTGGCCCCATGGGGCTTTGGTCACTGATATCCTGGGGAGTTGAAATTGAACTGGGGCCTGGGGAAAATGAGGGACAAAGGTGCCCCAGTCCTCAGGCAGGAGAGTGAGCATAGGGGACCCATTTGCACCTTGCCTCTGTCCCTAGTTGCTCATTCTCCCTTTGTTCCTTCCCCCAAGCCCTGCTACTCATCCTGCTGTGGGGGTCAGGCCTCCACGAGGCAGTCCAGGCTCTGGGTACTGTGTTTTCTAATCTGAACTTGTCTGCCTCTCAGTTTGTCAAAGGATTTGGGAGCTGTACTTCTGAAAGTCTTTCCAAAGGTCCTGAATGATAAGACACTTGTGAGTCATTGAACACATTCCCGTATATAGAAAAGAGCTGGGAAATAAGTTATAAGGGCTCCCCAAATGCAGCTCAGCTGCAGCCAGGGGGTGTCTGCCTGGGAATTGGGGTTGGCATGGAACCCCAGGGCCACTCGGGCAGGTACATGCCGATCCCCCCACTTCTGCAGAAGGTCAAGAGCAAGTCAGATTATTTGGGGCTGCATCTCTTTGGGGCTGTGTTTGCCAGCTTGGCCAGAGCGGTCGTTTGAATTTATGGGTTGTGGGGAGGAGCTGTGGATCTGCAAATGCCTAGGGAAGTCTTCAAGTGAGAACGAGAGCTCTTTTTTAATATGCCTCATTTAGTTGGTTAATAGACCTTGGTTAAGGTCGGCACTGGGTTCAGGCAGAGTGTTGGCTTTCTAGGAGCTCCTGTCCCAGAGATAGAAGCATGTGGTAGCTGCAGTGGCCTAAATTACCACCCATGGGGTACAATGAAGAAGACCCAAGGAGCGGCTGAGTGTGCAGTGAGGGTGGGGTAGTAGGCAGGAGGCACTTTTGCTTCTTAGAGGACGCCGTCTCGGAGTTGCCATTGTCTGTGGATAGAGAAACAGGATGGGCTGGCATTCTCAACAGGGGGCAGAGCAGCTACAAGGGCACCGTGGCATAAAATAGCCAAGCATGTTTGTAGAACAGGTTCTTCGCATCCTGGCTGGAGAGAGGAATAGGAGCCAGATGGTGGGGGGGTCTTTTTATTTTTTATATATAAAAATAGAGACAGGGTCTTACTAAGTTGCCCAGGCTGGTCTTAAGCTCCTGGGCTCAGGCAATCTCCTCGTGTCTCAGCATCCCAAAGTGTTGATTATAGGTGTGAGCCACTGTGTCCAGCTGGAGGGCCTTGAATGTTGTGTAAGTGGGCTTGGGCTTTCTCCTGAGGGCAGCAGGTAGAGAAATAGGATCATACTGAGTTTAGGGATAGTGAGGGAGAAGCCAGTCAAGCCTGGAGCCCAGGAGACCCCTGATGGTAAGTGAGGAACAGAACTGGGGTCCTGGAGACGGAGAGTCACCAAGCCAGTATCAGGAAGGGCACAAGGCATTTTCTGTACCAGTGAGTCTTGCCCCAAACTCTTTCTGTAAACATGATGTTGAAGGCCTGAACATGCCATTTAACAGGTACACAGGCCATTAACTTGCTGGCTTTGACCTCCCTGAAGCATACAGCTCTAGTGTCTCTAAGTGAGTTATGCCTGTCCTGGACGGTGCTGCAGAGCTTCCCTTCCTGCCTCACCTGGTCAGAGGCTTCGTTTGGAAACCTGGGCAGAGGCTGCTGCCAAGGGTGGGAGTCAGGGGTATGAGAAGGAAAGCAGAGAGACTGAGGAATTGCTGTTCTCTTTCTAAAGCTGTAGCTTGCCGTCGCCAACCAACTTCCTCTTGGAAAAAACCAACATACAAATAATAAACCATTTAAAACAAAAGAGTGCGGAGGGAATGGTGAGGGAGGCGGGTGGGCTGCCCTAACTGTGGTCAAGCATCAGAATTGCCTGGGGTACTTAAAAACAAACAAACACACACATTCAGACTCCCAGGCCCAGCCTGGACATACTCAATCAGAACCCCCAGGTGGTGTGGAGCCTAGGAATCTGTATTTTTAATGTTTTTCTTGTGAATTTTTAAGACAGGGTCTCACTTTGTTGCCAAGGCTGGAGTGCAGTGGTGCAATCACAGTTCACTGCAACCTTGATCTCCTGGGCCTAAGCAATCCCCCCACCTCAGCCTCCCATGTAGCTGAGACTACACCTCCAGGCTAATTTTTGTATTTTTTGTACAGATGAGATTTCACCACGTTTGCCTGGGCTGGTCTCGAACTCCTGGGCTCAAGCGATCCTCTCATTTCGGATGATTTTTTTAAAATATTTTTAAATTAAGGTATAATTTACATGCAGTAATATGCAAAGATTCTGTTACGGTTTGATGAGTTTTGACAAATGTATACACCTGTGTAACCACCACCCAGATCAAGATATAGAACATTTCCAGCACCTCAGAAAGTTGTCTTGTGCTCCTCACCTCACAAGACAGCTACTTTCTCATTTTTTTTGTCCTTTTCTTCTTCTTTTTTTTTTTTTGAGACAGAGTTTACTCTGTCTTCCAGGCTGAAGTGCAGTGGCACAATCTCTGCTCACTGCAGCCTCGACCTCCCCAGGCTCACGTGATCCTCCTACCTCCCCAGGCTCAGGTGATCCTGCCACCACAGCTTCCCAAGTAGCTGAGACTACAGGAACATGCCATCGCACCTGGCTAGTTTCTTCTGGATTTCTTGTACAGGCAGGGTTTTGTTGTGTTGCCAGGCTGGTGTCAAACTCCTAGGCTTAAGCGATCCACCAATGTGGGCCTCCCAGAGTGCTGGGATTACAGGTATACACCACCATGCCAGACCCACTTTCCAATTTCTGTTACCATAAATTAGTTTTGGCAAGTCTAAATCCTCATATAAATGGACTTGTTTAGCGTATACTCTTTTGTGTCCATTTTTTTTCTGCCTGACGTTGCTGGGATCCACCTGTGCTGTTGAGCATATCAGGAGTTGATTTTTTTTTTTTTAATCACTGAGTAGTCTCCCATTGTTTGGATGTTCCACAATGCATTATCAATCCTGGGTTTTTTTTATGATTATTATTATTTTTATTTTTATTTTTTGAGACAGAGTTGAACTCTGTCGCCCAGGCTGGAGTGCAGTGGTATGATATCCACTCACTGCAGCCTCCAGTTCAAGCAATTCTCCTGCCTCAGCCTCCTGAGTAGCTGGGATTGCAGCCGCCTGCCACTGCACCTGGCCAATTTTTGTATTTTTAGTAGAAACCGGGTTTCACCATCTTGGCCAGGCTGGTCTTGAACTTCTGACCTCGTGATTCACCTGCCTTGGCCTCTCAAAGTCCTGGGATTACAGGCGTGAGTCACCACACCCAGCGTCATCCACCCTGTTGATGGACATTTGGGTTGTTTCCAATTGGTAGGGGCTATTGCTAATAAAGCTTCTATCTGCATTTAGGTACAAGTCTTTTTGTGGTCATATATTTTCCTTTCTCCAAGACTAGGGCTGCTGGGTTATAAGGTAGATATATGTTAACTTTTTGAGAAACTGCTAAAGCATTCACTTTTAATTACAAAAGTAATATACCTCAAGCAATACAAAACTGCAGAAACTAAAAAGTGATCCTTTCAGATCATTTAAAAAAAAGTACAATCTGATCTTCAGTCTGTCCACCTGCCTGATTGACAGTCTATCATATCTCTTTCTTGTTTTTTTGAAATGGAGTCTCGCTCTGTTGCCCAGGGTGGAGTGCAGTGTCGTGACTTCGCCTTGGCTCACCGCAACCTCTGCCTCCAGGGTTCAAGCAATTCTCCTGCATCAGCCTCCCAAGTAGCTGGGACTATTGGCATGCACCACTACGCATGGCTAATTTTTGTATTTTTATTAGAGACAGGGTTTCACCATGTTGACCAGGCTGGTCTCTAACTCCTGACCTCAAGTGATCCACCTGCCTCGGCCTCCTCCCAAATGCTGGACAGCCTATCATATCTCTCTTTTTTTTTTTTTTGAGACGGAGTTTTGCTCTTGTTGCCCAAGCTGGAGTGCAATGGTGTGATATCGGGTCACTGCAACCTCTGCCTCCCTGGTTCAAGCAATTCTCCTGCCTCAGCCTCCCAAGTAGCTGGGATTACAGGTATGCGCCAACATGCCCAGCTAATTTTGTGTTTTTAGTAGAGACAAAGTTTCTCCATGTTGGTTAGACTGGTCTTGAACTCCCAACCTCAGGTGATCCACCTGCCTCAGCCTCCCAAAGTGCTGGGATCATAGGCGTGAGCCACCTCACCCAGCTCATATCTCTTTCTTAATATAAGGTTATACATTTCCCTTCGCATACAGCTTAAACTGTATCCCACAGGTGTCCATATGGACATAGACTCCTTGTTGTTACCTACTGGATCAGTTTTCACTTGAGTTTTGATTTCCTTTCGATCCAGGCATTCTTTGGGATCTGTTTAGAAGCTAGCTGTGGTTTTGTTTTGTTTTTAACAAAAATGGCATGGTACTGTTCTTGGTTCTGCCACTTTGTCTGTTCCAACAGCAGGCCATGTGGACTGCAGCTTTTCAGAACACATGGATCTGCCAAGCCATTCCGAACAGCCAGCCTGCATTTGGGAGCCACTGACTTCGCATTTCCTGTCTGATTACCCCCAGTGCTGTCAGCTCAGTAAATGAAACACCCCACCCAGAACTTGCCCGTGAGGGTGCAGAGGAGCTGGCTGAGCCCATTCAGCATTCTGAGAAGGGAAGGAACTCATATTTATTGAGCATCCACAGTGCTTCCCCCTTGCTGTTTCAGAGATATGTTCATCAGAAAAGTGGTTGGCCCCAGTCACTCAGCTAGGAACGGGAGGAAGGAGTGCCGGATCCAGAGTCCATCTGATGGCTCAGCACATCCTTATCCCACTGGCAGCACTGCAAACATTTATGAGTGCCTACTGTGTGCCAGGTACAAGGCCAGGTCCAAGAGGGCAGGGAGAAATAAACAGCCCCTGTGCCCAAGGAGGGAGGGGAGATCTGTATCAGGAGGAGGTTAATGAACAATCTAAGATGGTTTATGCCAAGGGCAGGCCAAGGATCTGGTCTGGGAATGCCACCTCTGGTCCGAGGGAGAGCGGCCCAAGGCTGTAGAGTGTGGGGACTTTGGGATTGTGGGATCATCCAGTTAACCTTCTCTGTCCGCCCACTTTATGGATGAGAACGGTGAGGCCCAAGGGAGGCACTCGTCAACACAGGAAGATAAAGCCATCTAAAGACCCATTGTTTGGCCAGCGTGTGGCTCATGCCTGTAATCCCAGTGCTTTAGGAGGCCAAGGTGGGCAGATCATGAGGTCACGAGTTCAAGACCAGCCTGGTCAATGTGGTGAAACCCTATCTCTACTAAAAATACAAAAATTAGCTGGGCTCAGTGGTGGGCGCCTGTAATCCTACCTACTTAGGAGGCTGAGGCAGGAGAATCTCTTGAATCTGGGAGGCGGAGGTTGCAGTGGGCAGAGACTGCGCCACTGCACTCCAGCCTGGGTGACAAAGGAGACTTAGACTCAAAAACGAACAAACAAAAAGGAGCCATTGTTCACAGATGTGGCTCCCCCTGCTCCCCACTTCAGCCATACCCACCATTCCCACCATTCGATGCTTCTGTGAAACCCCCCTTGGCAGCGAGGGATTTAAGGACAGTGTTAATGCCTCTGCCTTAAACTTTTGATGATATTGTTCATGACTCTCAGATCCTGGTTTTGTCACAACTCATGGGAAAGGGAGGTGGGAGGGCAAAGCTCTATCAATTGCAAAGATTCCTTATGGTTTGACTGCTCAGAGACACCCCTAAAATCCAGGATGGGGTTCCTGGAAAGCTCAGGAAGGAGCATGGAGTCTAACACATGACGAGCAGCTCTGGCCGCTGTGTGGACTAGAACATGGCAGGTAGGGAGAGGGCTGGTGGTTGCCAGAAGGGTTGGGCTGGCAGTGGAAGGCTTCCTCCATCAGTAGGTATCCGAGCAGTCCTGGGCTGGAAGGCAGAGGGCTGAGCCCTCAGGGTTCTGCTCATGTTGGGTCCTTCCTGACCTGGAGGCTCAGGACCACATCTCTGCGTGCTCCCTCCTTATGCTGGGACGCCCTGAGAAGCACTTCCTTTTAGGACTTTTTTTTGCACATAAGTGCCAAGTGACTCCCTGCTTCTCCAGTGGAAAGTCCTTAACCCGAGACTGCCGGTTGTTTGGTTGGAGGGGAGGAGTATGGTTGGCCAGCGATTTCAGCAGTGTCATGTTTTGTGGGTGAAGGGTGCCGGAAGGGGGAGGTCCTAAGGGACCTGCCCTCTTGCCCCACGGCTAGTCAGCACCGTGAGGGAAGACTCAGGTCATGATCTCAAGGACATTCATTCCTTCAGAGATGACATCTGGTGTCTCCTCTGCAGGTGGACATCACACCAGCCCAAGACAACAGCCTCTTCACTAGCCTCTGTGCCTCCTAGGGACCTCTCTGTGCCATCCGGGGACCAGCTCTCTGCATGCCACTCTCTTGCTCAAAAGCCTTCAGTGGCTCCCTAGTGCTTTGTGAAATCAATTCCAACCTCCTTAGCCTGGCATCGGAAGCCCTTCGCGGTCTGGCTCTTGGCCAGTGTTCACGCTCACCTATCGCAGCTTCTTTCCTGTGTTTGTAGTCCTGCTAGTTTCTGCTCCTCACTAGCCCCAAGCATCAGTCTCTCTTGGCCCTGCCCATGCTGGCCCCTCAGCCTGCAAGGCCCTCCCTCCCATCTAAAGGGCGAGCTTGGAGCTGCTGGCTCTAGGAAGCATTCCTTGAGCCTCTTAACAGTGCCTGGCACGTAGTAAGCACTCAACAAAGATGACGTGAGTTAAAGTGGACTTCAGCTCATCCTGCTCTGAGCACTGTGGTCCTTTCCTCTGGCCTGAGCTCAGACCTTTATGGTCTTACCTTATACCCATGCACCTGACTGGGGACACTTCAAGGGGAGGGATGGATGCTCCAGCATTTAGCATAGGGGTCTGGCACACAGTGGGTGTTCAACATACAAATCAAGAGATCCTGATTCCTTCTGCTCTGAAATGAGAACCTATGGTGAACATCTGGGTGGCTCCAGGCTTGGAAATTACATTCATCCGTCACCATCCATCCGTCTAACAAATACTTGTTCCAGGCCCTGTCCTAAGCCCTGGGGTTGTGGCTGGTGAACAAGACAGACCAATCTGTACCCTCATGGAGCTGTCTGTCTGGCAGGGCTATGGATGTCAAACAAAAAATTACACATGCATGGCTAATGCCCTTTTAAAATCAAAGACCCTGCATCTGGCACTGCAACACCAGGCTTAGAACGCCCTTGGCCTCTGGCTTGCTCTGTGACCTAAGTGAGTCCTTTCTACTCTCTGGTCCTGTAAGGGGTGGCCCAGATTTTGTGTTTAAGGGAAATAGCTTCTGAATAAAGGGAGAAAAGACCATTCTGTCCATGTGGAAGCGCGTGTCACCACATGGGGTGCTGTCCCTGCAGGACTCCTTTAAGGACGCAGTCGTCCTCTTGGTGGCTTTTTAAGATGTCCCAGCCTTGGCTCTGAAAGGTGTCCTGATTTGGGGACAGGAGTTCCAGAGTTACTCTGAGCAGAACTGTAGCAACAGGCTTTTAGTAAAGAACACTGCCTTGAGGAACAATAATGTGGATTCTGCTTCTACCATTGGTAGAAGAATATCAATTAGAACAGACTTTTAAAAAAAGAAAAGCAAAATCTTATCCGGGTGCGAAGGCTCACGCCTGTAATCCCAGTACTTTGGGAGACCAAGGCAGGTAGATGGCTTAAGCTCAGGAGTTTGAGACCAGCCTGGGCAACATGGCAAAACCCCATATCTACAAAAAATATAAAAATTAGCCGGGCATGGTGGCACGCACCTGTAGCCTCAGCTACTTGGGAGGCTGAGCCTGGTAGGCAGAAGTTGCACTCAGCTGAGATGATGCCACTGCACTCCAGTCTGGGTGACAGCAATGAGACAGCACGCCTAGGTGGGGTCAGGAGCCCTGAATTTCTAACCAGCCCCCAGGTGCTGTGGACAGTGCTGGTCTGTGAACCACTCTGAGTCAAGGAGATAAACAGTGCTGTTGGGTGCCTCCTGTGCATTTAAAACCAGACCCTGTGTTTCCTGAACCTCCTCTCCCTGATCCTCACCAAAGACACCATTATTCTCATTTTGAATACCTGAGGCCCAGCTGAGGGCGGTAACTTGCCCAAGGTCACACAGCTGGGAGCCTGCCGGCGTTCGCGCTGGGCCAGCGCCACCTTGGAAAGGATGCTGTTGGGGAAGCCTTTTACTACTGAAAAGTGTCCTTGCTCCAAAAGCCGCAGGAGGCTTTTTAAGACAGCCAAGTCGGATGTAAATCAGGGGAGAGCCCAGGGCCAGCCAGACTGCTGACAGCGGGGCGGCCTGGGTCACCGTGTCCGGACAAGGCCCACAGCGGGATTTGGAGCTGGCATGCTGCCTGGGAGTGGGCGAGCCGTCAGGGATGCTCTGGGTGCCTGAAAGACCAGCCTGAAGACTGCTGGAGCCTAAAGAGGCACCTTAGCCTCTTACTTCCTCCCCCATTATTTAGATGCATTCTGGGGAAATACGGCTGGCTGGAAGGAGCAGCAATGGGATTGCATGAACTGGGACCTGCTGCTTCCGTTGTTTAAAGACTGGCTTATCCCTGCAGCCACGCGGGCATTCTCCGTAATCACGGTCTGCTTTGAGGACAGAGAGGGCATGGTTGCCTGCTGGCTGGGGCTTTATTTTCGCACTGAGCTCCTATCTTCAGCAACTGGGAAACGTAGAACAGATAGTGAGAGTCCTCAAATGCTGCCCCTGGCCCAGCACTATGGGTATCACCTGGGAGCTGGCAGAATGCAGAACCTCAGGCCCCACCCAAGACCTGCTCAGTTAGACCTCGGGGGTGGGGCCCAGGAATCTGGATTTTCAAGAGCCCTCCAGGCAATTCTGCTTTGTGTTTAACTTAGAGAAGGCCTGATGACCTCTCTGGCTGTGTGCCTGGGGGCAGGGTGGGGCTGGGGGGAAGGGTCAGGCCTAACCCTTGCCTGTGATAACTAGAGTGACAGGGGCTGCGGGAACCTCAGGTGTTCTGTCATCCACATCCTTCCTCTTTTTATGTGGTGGGAGCAGTGTGTCAGAGACATACATATAATTATGCAGCAAGTTCAAGGCAGGGTATAGGTCTGGATTCTTATATTGCAAATGGCAGAAATCAGTTCAAACTGACTATTTTTATTTTATTTTTTCTGAGATGCATTCTCACTCTGTCTCCCAGGCATGAGCCATCACACCCAGCCCAAACTGACTTTAAAAATAAAAAAGAACATTTACTGACTCTTTTAACATAAAAGCTCAGGGCCATACTTCAGCCCGAGGCGGAATCCAGGTGCTGAAAGCTGTCATTGGGACTCAGTTTCCTTCTCTCATTTCCCGGCTCTGTGTCGGTCTGTGCCTGCTTCATTCATTCTCCATGGGTGCCCTAGCTGCTCATTAGCGTGGTGCAGCAACCACTGCCCCCCCCGTCAGTGTAGCCATCTCAACCAAGAAAGAGCCTTCTTTTTCCCCAGTATTTTTAGCAAAAGTCCGAATCACCACTCTTTTTGACCAGGCTGATCAAGTGCCTATCGTTGAGCCAATCATGACAGCCCCCCTCTGATTGACTAGAGCTGGCTCACATGCCCACCTAGGAGGAGGAGATAGAGTCAGTCCATCTAGACCCCATGGGCTGAGAGCAGGCCTGTGTGGGCCTCCTGGTGGAACAGGTTTAGGCTGTCCCCAGAAGGGCCATGGGTGCCAGCAGGCTAGATATATGGACTTTAGTGCTATTTTTTTTTTCTTTTCCTTTTTTTCTTTTAAGAGACAGGGTCTCTGTCACCCCAGCTGGAGTGCAGAGGTACGATCTGCTCACTGCAGCCTCAACCTTCTGGGCTCAAGCAATCCTCCCGCCTCAGCCTCCCAAGTAGGTAGGACTGTGCTAGCATACTCAGCTAATTTTTAAATTTTATGTTTTTGTAGAGACAGGTCTCTCTATGTTGCCCAGGCTGGTCTTGAACTTTTGGGCTTGTGATCCTCCTGCCACAGCCTCCTGAAGTGCTGGGATTACAGGCATGAGCACACCTGGCCTTTAGTGCAATTCTTATCCTCCTCTCTGAACTGGGCTGGCCTCGTATAATTGGTAAGGTTTTGGCCCAAACAGAATTATGCTCTCCTTCCTCTGGTTCTCTTAACATTGTGCTTTAAATAGGCTGCCTTCATCTTTCACTTTATCCCACTTCCCTGTATATGGTCTAGGATAGCAAGGTACATGTTGCTATTTCCACCACCCAAACCCATGGCAGACATTACTTATCCACCCAGCCTTCACAGAGCCCAGAATGGAGCTGTGATGGCCTCTCTATCATGTGCCCAGCCTCTAGCCCATGGTTCCAGGCTTCATGAGCTCAGAGACCTTGGCTGAGTTGTCCACTGCTGAGTTTCATGTGCCCAGTGCAGTGCCTAGTACAGTAGGTGCACCATAAGTTGTTGACTGACTGTTCCTACCTCACAGTGTCTTGGACCCAGTGGGCACCAGTGTGAGCCTGTTGAATGTGAGGGCCCTAACGAAACAATGAGGTCATCTAATTTGGAGGACAGGGAGCTCTGGAGCATGCTGGACTGGCATTTACTGACACTGGCAAGTGTGCCTCTGGGTCTGGGAAAGAGACTGCCAGGGCTGAGCTGCAGCTACAGCAAGGAAAGGGGTCCTGGAGGCTTCTGCCTGCTTTCCCAGACCCACTCTCTCACGCCATCTCCCCCAGCGACACCCCTGCTCATCTCTGCTAATCCCAGTTTAACAGTTCATTGAAAAGATCTCAGTTGAGAAGAAACCATTTCCTGACTTTGCACACTTAGATTCCAGGAATCCAGGAGAGCCTTCCAGCCTCAGGGCAAGGAGCTTTGCTGGTAGGAGGAGGTGATCTGCCCCCAATTGCCTATTTCCCAAACTGAGCTTCTACTGAAAAAAACAACAGAATAAAAAAAAAAAGGTCTTCCGGGTTAGGCACTTCTGGGACTGCTTGGCTCAGCAAAGCTCAGCAGATTTTCTGGGCAGTGATTCTTACCCCTGAGCTGGTTGGTGAGGACCACGTTCCCCAGGGATCTTCTCCAAGGCCCCTCGCTCTGGCCCTGCTATGTTCGTGTGCCCCTCAAGAATAGTCAGGCCACGTGACTGAGCTGGTGGGGCACTCAGGAGTGTGGGCTTTCTCTGGCTGGGGCTGTGGAGCAGCTTACCCATTTGCAGCTGAAATCTGTCTCCCTCTGACCAAGGGTAACATGCTGGTTCTTGCTGCTGACTGAGTTTTGGGCACCCGGCATCCAGGAGAGGGGCGTGTGTGAGTAAGGGGTCGTGTGTGAGTTAGAGTGCATGTGTGTCCCATGTGGGTCTGTGTGTGGCTGTGAATGTGCGTGGCCAGCACAGGCAAGTGTGTGTGGGGCTGGGAGTCTGCATATGATTACACATGTGTCTGAATGTGTCTGTGTGTGAGCGTGTGTTGGCACATGTGAGTCTGTGTGTATGAGCCTCAGCGTCCTGGCCTTCCATATGGGTTGGTGAGCCCCTCCCTAGCACAAGTTTGGTGGTTATAAGTGGGTGGAAGAGCCGGGCGTGGTGGCTCACGCCTGTAATCCCAGCACTTTAGGAGGCCGAGGCAGGAGGATCACGAGGTCAGGAAGGAGTTCAAGAGCAGCCTGGCGAACATTGTGAAACCCCCCATCTCTACTAAAAATACAAAAAAATAGCGAGGTGTGGTGGCAGGTGCCTGTAATCCCAGCTACTCGGGAGGCTGAGGCAGAAGAATCATTTGAACCCGGGAGGCAGAGGGTGCAGTGAGCCGAGACCACGCTATTGCACTCCAGCCTGGGCAATGGAGCAAGACCCTATCTCAGAAAAAGAAAAAAAGTAATTGGAAGATCAGGGGCCCTGTGCACAGTCTGCCTCTAACCAGATCTCTTCTTTCCTTCTCTTCCTCTCTTTACAATAGATCCAGAACTAGAACCACAGCCCCTTCTGAGGAGCTTCCAAATGTAAGTGACCTGGGACCTCCCGGTGGGATGGGTGTCTCACACTGTGCAGTGACCCAAGGTGGGGGGCTCAGGAGCTCTGTGTCTCCTCCAAGCTCTAGGAGGAGAAGACAGGACCCCTAAGGCCCGCAGACCTTGTCCACACCTCACCTCCAGGTGGCAGGTCCCCTGGCCTGCGTTGGCCACTCTGTGCCTGCGTGGTCCTCAGCCAGTCTGTGCCAGAGAGGGCACAGGAAGGCTCTGCAAATGGGCCAACCACTGGTTTCAGAGACCCAGCCCAGGCCCTGTCCTGGTTCTGCTGCAGGGTAGCCTGGGGCAAGACTGTTGTGGGGAGGAGGCCCTCACTGAGCTGATTCTGAGGACTGGGGGTCTGAGCTTGGCTCTGTCTCTAATCTATTAAAGATTTGTTGTTTTGAGACCAGGTCACACTCTGTTGCCTAGGCTGGGGTGCAGTGGCATCATCAGGGCTCACTGAGCCTCTATCTCCCTAAGTTCAGGTGATCCTCCCACCTCAGCCTCCCTAGTAGCTGGCACTACAGGCATGTGCCACCATGCCCAGCTTATTTTTGCACTTTTTGTAGCAATAGGGGTTTACCATGTTGCCCGGGGCACGGTGGCTCAGGCCTGCAATCCCAGCACTTTGGGAAGCCAAGGCAGGAGGATTGCTTAAGGCCAGGAGCTCAAGGCCAGCCTAGGCAACATATTGAGCCCCGTCTCAGCAAAAATTAAAAATAAATAAAATTATAAATAACAAATATGCAAAATGGAAAACCTTTGCTAAAGTTGCAAGAGTATTACAGTGGCCTCGCATTACACCCTTTGTTAAGATTTTCCCATGGGTAACATTTGCCACATTCACTTCATCTCTTTCTCACTAATATGTTAAATAAAAATAGCCATGTGAATTTTCTTCCATTTTTGCTGAATCACTGGGGTAAATTGCAGGCGTGATGCCCCTTAACCTCGGTCCTGCAGGTCTTTCATAAGAGCAAGGCCATTCTCTTATATAACCCTGGCACAGTTACCTACCCCAGGAAACTGATTTAACATTGACGTGATTCCGTTATCTATGGATCTTAATGGCATTGTGCTGATGGTCTCAGTGTTTACAGCAGCTTTATTTTTCTTTTAGTTCAGGATCATCATCGTGTTTTTAAAAAAGGTTTAAGGAATGTCTTCTTCACTGACTTAAGACATTGCCTACTCTAGGGGCTTCCAGATTCTTTTAATCCTCAGCATTCATTAAATACATTTTACAATGGGATTTGGCCTGTGTGCGCACATATGCAAACATGCGTGTGAAAGTCAAACCCTGAAACTGAGGTTTCTCAGATTATCTCGTACTCACCATCCGCTGTGCTCTGCTCTGCGTCTCATTTTGTAAAAATGATGGCCTTGACCCCTTCCCTTGATGTCAAGAGCGACTGTGGACTCTGCTTTGGAATTTGAAAACTCTGGCTTCCTGGGCAGAAATTTCTAAGGGGGAAGGCTAAGCTCCCACTGGTCCAGGGTTGGGATTGGTTGATGTGGGGTCCCCTTGAAGCTGGGACCAGACAGGCATTCATTTGTGGCCCAGAGCTTCTCAGCCTACTGCTGCTGGCGGCTGGACCGACCAAGTCCTTCCTTTTCATCAAGCCCCTTGGGCATAGAATGCTTAGTCACAAGCAGCCCAACCCCGGGGAGATGGATTCTTTGCGCTGTGACATTGGGCAGGTGTGTTCCCCCAGCCAGCTGCTAGGCAGGCATGGAGGTGACCTACACGATGCTGGCCTCCAGAGTCATCATCATCATAATTATAGACGTCAATAATCATTGCTAATACTTCCTGGACTCAGCATGCTCAGATGGTGCTGAGAGGTTTCGTGCGTTAACTCATGTTTCTCTGTCAACCCTAAGAAGTTGGGTGTGCTGTTGAAAAAACATGACATAAATTTATTGAGTGCTTCCTGCTAAGCATGTCACAGACCCACACACAGCCTCCTCTGGAGCCCTGTGGGGTGGGTGCTGATGTCATCCCCATTGTACAGATTGGGAAACTGAGGCTTGGAGAGATGAATTGATTGTTCTCAAGGTCACACAGCTAGGAAGGATTTGAACCTAATTGAGCTGACCCTAGCCCACTTCCTCAGGCTGGGAGCGGCCTCTGGTTCCAGCCCCTTCCTCTTAAGGCCTTCCTCCTGGTTAATGAGAAGTCAAGGGCAGCTGGGGAATGAGTCTTCTGCTGCTGTGAGGCTGGAATGTGAGTTCTGCTTCCAGATAAAGAGTATTGTGCAAGGGGCCCTGCCTGGGCTGGCAGCTTTATAGGCAATAAACAGAGGCTGCCAGTTCTTCTTTTTGAGGCTTGCTGATGTATTTGCACATGGGAGCCCATTTTATAGAAGAGCCTGACAGGCAGGTTTGCCCTCAGTTTTATCTGATGCCTCCTCCAAGCAGCCCTCTTGGCTTACACTTTCTGAAAGGGCTCCTCATCCCCGACATAGCAGGGGTGTCTAGAGGAACAGGGTGAAAGAACAGATGTTGTCACCTCTGAAGTCTGAGCACTGATGGTGTCCGCCCTCCTCACTGGGCACGTCACTTGGGGGCTCAAATCTTCAGGTTCTCATCTGAGAAAGGGCCTGACACGGATATGTGAATTGGTTGGTTGTTCAGTGGAGCCTGAACTTTAATGGACCAGCCCAGAAAAGTATTGCTGACAGGGAGCAACCCATGTAGTGGAGTCCATGGAGCTGGGGAGTCAGACAGTCCCTAGCTCAAATCCCAGCTCCAGCTCTGCCAGTCGCGTGACCTGCAGGGGTCACTGAACTACTGTGAGCCTCAGCTAACCCACCCCTAAAGTGGAGCAATAGCGGCACCCAGGAGGGTTAGAAAGACAGTGATCCTGGGATTTTGGGGTGGGGGTTACCTCACCACTTTTTTATTTTTTTGAGACGGAGTCTTGCTCTGTCACCCGGGGTGGAGCGCAGTGGCACGATCTCTGTTCACTGCAACCTCCACCTCCCAGGTTCAAGTGATTCTCCTGCCTCAGCCTTCTGAGCAGCTGGGATTACAGGCACCTACCACCATGGCCAGCTAAATTTTGTATTTTTAGTAGAGACGGGTTTCACCATGTTGGTCAGGCTGGTCTCGAACCCCTGACCTTGTCATCCTCCCGCCTCAGCCTCCCAAAGTGCTGGGATTACAGGTGTGAGCCACTGCGCCCTCCCAACCTCACCACTTTGTAAGCACGGTGAGGTTACGTGCTCAGAAGGCCTAGCACATCAGTGCCAAGCACCCCACATGCAGTTTCTCATTTTATACCCCAAGGTGAGCCCCCCAGAGCAGCTCTCCACCCCCTCAGCTATGGGGCCAAGTCCAGAAATCAGATTCACCTTCCTGGTGCCTGGGGTAATTTAAGGAAGAAAGGAGATTCTTAAGAGGGAGACCTTCTCGGGGCTTGTCGTGAGATCTCCCATGGGGTGCCTGCCCCCACACCCCCCACCTATTTTAAACTGGTAAATGTAGGGGGTGTTAATATAACAGGTCTATGACTTCCAATGCTGTCAGAAAAGGCCACCTCAGTCCTGTTCAACAAGAGTGCCAATTTCAACATTCGCTTCCTGGAAGGTCCAAGACCATAATAAAATGGTATTTATTGTTTACTCTGGTTATTAAAGTCATGCATTTTTGGCCAGGCGATGTGGCTCATGCCTATAATCCCAGCACTTTGGGAGGCTGAGGTGAGTGGATCACTTGAAGTCAGGAGTTCAAGACCAGCCTGGC